TATGATATGTAGCATGTGTGACTTCCCATTATTTTAATCCCAGTGATACTAATTATAAAGCATTACATTAGTTACCGTATTATTTAGGCCAATTAAAGCCCCTAAATATCAGCTGTGCTATCTGAGATAAGCTGGTAGGCGACACTATACCATCTTATGTCTGTGGTTTATAAAACTCATTCTCATGGCCTCTCCTGCCCTCTCAAGGAGACTTCGGTAGGGGGAATCGGGGGTCATGATCAGCTCAATTATTGATAATGCTGGCCTACGTTCCCACATTTGGTGTGCACTTTCAACCTGTCGGTCTACTCAATTTGGTTATGAAAAACAACACCGTTTTAAGACTAGGGGCCTATTGAGTCAATGAACAACAGTGTTGTTTAACTATAGGCATAGGCCTACCATCATTTCGGTCCAATGTTTCAAATTTGCTAATTTTAATAGGCCTAGGCCTACGTCATATACATTTTGCTAATTTATACGTCATATAAATTTGGGTACAGTACTTGTATAACCAAACAAAGTGAATTATTGCAACGTTATAGCTTTAAAAACTATTTTGCCTATTAATAGTAGCGTATGAGGCTTCCCGTGTACACCTTAAGCTTCCTACTTTGGCTGAACGTCGACTACGGTATATTTGTGCAAGGAATTTTTTAACAAATCCAAATGTTCTAACCATAGGTTAAACCATCCCTTGGCCAAAGCACCTGATCACGGATATAATTTATCGATCTAATAATCTTTTTCTTTCTAAAGGACTGAGCGGTTAAAAAAAAAAAAGTTTTTCTGAATACTGGGCTTTTTAAAGGATGGTAACCGATAAGACGTTATTTTTGTCATTCTTTAGTAGATTATATGATGTATACCAATGCAATAGGTTTTCTGTTATATTAATGAAGTTAATAAAAATGATTTTGTTTGTTTATTTATCTTGGCCTATTTCAGACTTGTAAATGCGCCATGAGCGTTTTCGACAGATAGCGGCACATTAAATGTCCGATTATTATTATTACTATTATTATTATTATTATTATTATTATTATTATTATTATTATTATTATTAATAGTAATAGTAATACCGTAATAATTATTATAGTTGTAATAATTGTAATTCAATTCAATTCATTTCAATAAGACAATTTATTTTCTTCCATTGCAGACGACAAAATACATTAAATACAAATTATAAATTAAAATTGAAATTCAAAAGAAAATAACAAAATCAAATGGAAAAAGGCACATGTGTAATAATAATAGTAATGGTGGGAATAATAATAAAATGATGGTTATAATGATAATACTTATTATTGTTGTTTTTTTATTGTGATTGTTATGATGATTATAATTAGAATAATTAAAATCATAATAGCTTCATAATTATTATAATTGTGGTGATGTTTATGGTAATAATGATGACAATAATAATTTGAATCTAATAGTTAGCCAAACGAGTAGTAGTTTATGATTGCCTTTTTATTTCTCTCATGGCCTTTTTATACATGTTTGTTTTTAGTTCCAATTGCTATATGTACATTGTTTTTTTATATGTTTATCTGTTTTAAGGTGTCCCTGTCCCTGTCCTTGTTGTTAGTTTTTTTCCACTTTACCCCTTTGTTCGTTGTTTTGTGATTGTGAGATTTTATTGATATTTTATTACGCATTTTTAATGTTAAACTTCAATTTGTATTCTATATCAAATTGCAATAACATCTTATCGTATTCGTATTCGCATTCGTTTAAGATTTTGACATTTTTCAATTTTCCCTTCAGAATCGTAAACTACCCGAGAAACAGACAGACACGTGATGGAATAACGGATTACGAAGTAAAAGCGATCATTGTGAGGGCTTTCCAAATCTGGAGTGACCATATTCCTGTAACGTTTAAAGAAACCACCGATATTGCGGATATTGAACTGAGCTTTGGTTCGCGGGCTCACGGCGATCTATACCCTTTTGATGGGCCCGATGGCACACTGGCTCACGCCTACCTCCCTGGAATTTACGACGTACTACTAGCTGGAGATGTCCATTTTGACGATGATGAAAGATTCACTCAGAACTCTTATATAAGTTAGTCCAAATAATATGAGACTTATTTATAGTGTATACTACTTGTTTAGGCATATTTGTGTTTACAGTTGTTTTGTACAGGATGGTACTGTAAATTATAACATTACGATATAAAGAGCTGTAAAATGAATAGGCCTACATGGCCCAGAATTAGTTATGTCCCGCTAACACTAACATCAGCTATTTAATCACTGTTAAACTTACATGTCTCAAAATACAGAGCCGGTCTTTGTATTCTCTACTCGGTACTCGACGCTTAGCAAGATAGGCCTACTACCAATATGATACTATCACTTATAAAATCACATGCCTATTGTATTTATAGACTTATTTCTTATACATTTACCTCAGTAACAAACCTACAACGATCATAGTTATTACAGGACATATTTGTATTAATCCAACTGAGTTTATTTATGTTATCATCCGGGATCAAATTTGCCATAGTAATGAAAAAAAAAAACTCTAATCGAATAAGACCTGCATAAATCCCCTCCCCCACCTGATCCTACTTGGTCCATCTGTGTACACCCCCGCACTTCCCTTTCCCAATGGCATTGTGACTGGGTACGTCCCTGCTAAAGAGAAGGCAGGAAAAATAACAAATAACTGGTAACACATTAATCTTTTTAGACTACAACCTTCTTCAAGTTGCCGCCCATGAGATTGGACACGCACTCGGATTGGCACATTCGAACGTCTATGGTGCACTTATGTACCCTACTTACAACGGCTATCAACCCTCATTTCGCTTGCCCGATGATGACATAAGAGGAATCCAGGCCTTATATGGTATAGTAAAAATCATTGGCTCGTAATTTAGTCAATATACATCTTAAAAAATTCATGGGTCTATAAATGGCTTTAAATGATTATACAATTTTGGATCAAGCAAGAATTGATATTATCAAAAGGTCCTTGATGTTGTAAAATTTAGTTATGATTTAATTGTAATATAGTTGTATATGTTGTTTTTGTAATTGCAATTCACTTAAACTGTTTTCCTCTCTCTCTCTCTCTCGCTCTCCCTCTCCCTCTCTCTCTTTCTCTCTCTCCCTATCTCTCTATTTGTATATTTCAGAACCCAATATTTCAACAATTGGCTTATAAGATTACATACATGGAAATTTACTTTTAATATTATTGGCCGACCGTTCACAATAGGCCTATGATCTAAATGATTATATTTATAGTTTGTTTATTGAAAATTTGTTTTTTAATTATTTGAAAACATTATTCAGAATGAATAGTTGGTAAACTTTAGGTAAATTTGTTTGCTTTTAAAAAAAGGGGTTTTTTTTACTCTCTCTAGAATGAAATCCTAATGTTATGTCGTAGAACAACAGGCTATTTAAGTGATAAAACGTATTAATCTGTGTTTAAATATTTGTCAATGAAATTGAAAAATGAAAAAAATAAATGAAATATGTAACTGAATTTGTTCACAGGTTCCCGAACGAATTCGAACCCGGGCCCGAGACCGACCTACACATCGGGTGATACTGAAGGGTGTAATAAAGCATTCAGTGCAGTCAATTTTCTTAGAGGAGAAATTGTTGGATTCCAGGTAAACTTAAATTAAATTAATTACAGTTGTTGAAAATTATTACGCAATAATTTACGTATTGCATAATGGCCGCGTACAAGGTATTGTGCCTTGTATTGTATCGGTTCAGACTTTTTACTGCACAAATCCTTAAATTTGCTTGCGAAAATTGGGGGTAGGCCTTTGCTTACAGGATATACAAAGATCATTGAAATATTTTTTTTCTTCTCTTGAGGTTGTGTCAACGTGATGCGCTACATAAATCCAGAATTATTATTATTATTATTATTATTATTATTATTATTATTATTAATTACAAGGGAAATCTATTCTTGCTCTTATGTGGAAACAACTCCACAAGTGTTGAATATAGGTATTGCGTTCAAAAGTAAATGGTTTTCGCAATTCAGTATCATTCTAATTTTAGTTGAAAAAAATTAGGCCTATTATTATTATTACTATTGTTATTATTAAACTATTAATATTTATATTTTTCCTCTTTTACCTTTATCATTATTACTATTAATATTATTACTATTAATATTATTATTAATATTATTATTATTACAGTCATCATCATCTTAATTTTTATTTGCAAGCCAATAACATATTTCAATAGATTTATAGGTGGCAGTATACCTCTAAAATACAGTAGTAGTAATGTACCACTAAAAATAATTTTCAAATCATTTTATAGAATGATAGGTACTGGAGAATAACTCAACCAGGTCAGCTTGTCACCGATATTGACGGTGATCTAAATGAACATTTCTGGTACGGTTTACCAGATAACGTAGATGCTGGTTATGAGAGATGGACAGACAGCACAATAATCTTCTTTAAAGGTAAATTATTATTAATATCATCATCATTACTATTGTCATCACTACATCATTATCATGTTTTTATTATTATTTTATTATATCACTATTATTTGCAAAATCTGGCCAAATATATACAGGGGTGTAAACAGACTCTTTTAATTAAACTTGTAAGCTAACAATAATTGTTCCTTTAACTTCAGGTGAAAATTACTATCTGTTCAATGCAAACACACTAATGGAAGGCCCCTTACCGATATCGTCTCTCACTGTCTCTTCTTCTACTATACTCCCAACCAACATCGACGCGGTCTTGACGTTCGGGGAATATTATAAAACGTACTTCTTTAAAGATGATTTGGTGTGGCGCTACGACGAAAAAAGGCGAGAAGTAGACTTTGGGTACCCACTCCCTATCTCGTTGGTGTTTAAGGGAATTCCTAGTGACTTATCAGCGGCCTTCAGATATATAGATGGTAAGGAACAACTTTCTACTTCTACAGGCATATAATTTTGTTTGTGGGCCTATGCATTTTAACTTAATCTTATAGAGTTTAAGTGGACATTTTTGTTATGTAGCCTATTTTTAGGTCTCCAAATAAAATGTTTATATATATAAGAAAGTAAACTATACCTAGAAAAAAAAACAAAAAAAAACGCTGATTATGTGCAAAACCCATACAGTAGACAAAGTAATGTTGTGAATGTATTGATATTAGGTCTATTTATGATAATTTATCGCAATCTAATTCAATTTATCTATTTATGAGCTTTGAGCTCTAAGATTTCATAAATATCGCTATATAAATGATGTTATGTATGTATAATTAATGTTATAATCTCTCTTTTTGTCATCAGGTAATACATACTTTTTGAAAGGAAAGGAATACTATCGGTACAATAATGTGCGACAGGAGGCCGACTCGGTGGGCTTTCCTCGCTTATTTGGTGTCGATTTTATGGGTTGCAACACAGAGGAATACACTGCAAGGAACACCGGAACGACTGCCGTTGCTGTAACCAATATCTCGTTCCTTGTCGCTTCGACTCTCATAACTTTATTTTTTGCATTCTAAGTAATATATATTTAATTAACTGATCAATAGATTAATCAAATAATTATTCTTATCATTATTGAAGACCACAATCAAATTAATGTATGGAGCAAATAAGAACATGTTTCTCCGTTATCCATTTTTAGGGATGTTTTTTCAATAGTTATATTCGTGCTTAGGTCTATCAAGGGCCTATATTATAAGCCTATAGGCGTGTTTTTGTATGTGTATATGGACATTCAAAGGCAACACGAGAAACATTTTATCAGTGGCCTAATAATACAAATCTCCCTCCAATTAAAAACCAATTTTGTGGCAGATGGTGGGGGGCAGGGGGATTCCATGGTCTTTAGCAGCTTCGGTTTATAATTAGAATGATAAAGTTAATAGGCATTTGTTAATTTGGGACCACAAAACGTGGCATTTATTGGGGGTTGTCTGTAATTGGAGGGGGTAATTAATTAATTAGATTTATTTATCCAATCGTATTTTTATGAATAATTTATAATTTGTTGTACATTAAGATATGTAAATATGGAAAATTAAAAATGTTTTTCTATAGATAGGTGATTTTGCAGACACTGGTTACATAAGTATGAAATGATACGTATTTATACACATATAATCAATATAATATTTAAGCGTTTATGTTTATTCCTGCTATTAAAATAATTTAAATTCAGATATGGGTATTTTTGAAGCGTATTTGTTAAAAAGTATGTACTGATTGATAACACAGAGTGAAATAAACAAATGAAGGATTGAGAAGGCAGAGGAAAAGCAAATATAATATGCGAGTTGTGACCCCACCCAAAAAACAAAAAAAAAACTATATTGGACTAGGCCTGATAAGCTTCATTGGAGAAAGTGGTTTTAATTTCCTTTGAGTGAACGAATGGATACTTATCGGGACATCTGTCATAGCAATGTTCCCTGATGGAATGATTGGCTTCTTTCCTAACAGAGACCATTCCCCGGACACCCAGTAGCATAGTTCTGTTCCCCTTTGAATAATCTCACCCCACCGACAATGGTGTAAGAGTCAGGGGTAGCGCCAGGATTTGCCCGATGGGGTTGGGGGCCGATTAAATGGTTTCGAAAGTGGTACAGGGGGCGAAGCGAATTTAGAAGTTTCAAAGGTTTATTTAATCGATTTTAGAGTCTACTAATATAGAAAATACACACATTTTTTCTCCCCAATGAATTTCCCCCGCTAGCGCCACCCCTGGTGAGAGTTTTGGAATTATAGTTTTCCAGTACCTATTTCTATAATCCAAGGTTTGTTTTAATTTACTTTTTTATTTACTAAGGCACACAACACATGCATCATTGTCAAAAGCGAATATATAACTGCCCTACTTGTAAGTGACAATTCTTTTCACATGACAATACGTCGGTACTGGCTCTGCGCTGTCAGTGGTGGATCCAAGAATTCGAAATAGAGGGAGCCCGGGAGGGACTTTCCCAGATGGGGATCTTGACTAATTCTGCCCATGATTATTGGGGCTAAGGTTAGAAAAGTTATGATTAAGGCACTTAATTTTGTATATAATCTTCCTTTTTCTCAATTTTTTTTTATTTTGAAAAATTATATATATATATATATA